ACAAAGTCAGTGTAGGCAATGTATTTGAATTAGAAAGTGGTATGTTCATCTATTAGTACAGTTTTAAAACAGAGAGGAGTATTTGAAGTGGATAGAAAGTGACTCTTCTGGAAGAAGGCTGACATTGATATACATCTTATAGAACATCCTATTTAAATGTACACCTGCAGTGTGCACGCTGAAGACATGGAGACTATGCTTCAGTAGCTCCGGGACGGGGTTCGCATCTTTAACAAGCACCTTGATGAAGGCCTGCTTCTGGTGCTCCACAGACCACACTTTGAGAATCAAGACTCAGAAATGCCATCTCCTTTATCCCTTTTCTGTGGACGTGGCTTTATGTAAGTTAACCAGAGATACATTAAGTCATTCAGATCTAGGGCTCAAATAATTTTTGGGTAAAAGCCAGGGATGGCAGTTGGAGTTTGTTCTACAGGATGCCTGAGTAGAGCAGGAGGAATTCTCATGACTCATTTTGGGCAAATGGGTTGCCATGGCAACTGTCAGACGTTTGCGGTTCAACCTGGCGGCTCCTGGACATCCCTGCCAATCACAGCAAGAATGCCAAAGCCGCTCAGAGTGTTGGCCATGTAGCTGCAGCCACTCAGAGGCTCAGTGCCCTGAGACAGGCAGCTGAGTTTGAGTCCCTTTCTCAGCAGCAGTTAACACTGGCCCCTGAACTGCCTTTAGAAGTAATTATGCCTCAGGTCAAATACACCATCACCAAGAATAACCTATCAGCTGGAGTTCAGGGGTCTCAGCCTTGGCAGGGAATTTACCACTTGGAGCAAGAATACCAAAGGACAGCATACTCTACTGCAGAGGGAATTCTCAAACGAGAATGGCCTCTTCAGACTAGCAAGTTGCTTTTTCATACAAGTGAAAAGCACATACACACTTTTAAGTCTCACTGCCTCTCATTTCATTCTCTGTTGTACTCAAATATATCACCTATGTGCAGTCTATTCTTTATCAAGCCAACTGTAAAGCAAACAAAAGGAGTCCAACACAAAACGGAGTCCTATTCAGTATTTAATTCCATCCCATCCCCAGCATCTTATCTCCATCGGGGAAAATCCTAAGGCAGATGGAGACAGTGTGAGAAGGTGCAGTGTTGCCATTGGATGCATCCTGCCCCCAGCTGCCGTTTCTAGAATGCACATTTAATTCCCTGGAACAACAGGTGCAGATGTGCTGTCTCCACCTCACTGGGCTGTCCTCATGTCTTCTGTGAGCTCTTTAGTCAGGGTTGTTGAATTACACAACCCAAGGAACAGATTCTTTCAGGACACAAGCTGCAGGGGGCGACATTTAGCTTATTCTCTCTGGTGGGACCTACTCTCGCGCTGGGCTATCTAGGGGAAGCTTTGAAGGCATCCGTGTGAAGTGTAGACTTTTCATCATCCTACAGCCGGAGGAGCACGAGCAGGAGGGCACAGCCACTAGCTACAGGGCAAGTTCTGAGGCTTTTGGCCCACAGTGCTCAGGTTGTCTGTGGTCCAGGGTGGTGGGTGAGGCATGTATGTGTGTCTGATTTCTGAAGCAACAGCAAATTTTCAAAGAGAAATTTTATGGGCCCTCCAAAAAGAAAGGGATATGTTTGTGCAACATAGTCATGTTGATGCATAAATTTCCTGCACCTTTCTATAATTGTAGAGAGTTTAAAATAAGGCTTCAATTACGAATATTCAGGTCAAGAAATCAGAAGCCACACAGGTTGGGGTAAAGGTAGCTAGGAGCAGAGACAGCACATTATTATTATCCTGGTTTCCCGTCTGCCCCAACTTAATGACTTTTTTAAAAAAGCAAATGTTGACATGGTATAATACTGTCAGGAACAGACTGCAGTAGATGTTGTAGAAAAGCTGGGTTGTAACCCTTGCAGAGAGAATGTCAAAGATGGCTCATTGTCCAGAAGTTAGCTGGGGACACTTAGGGGAGGGGAGAAGGAGGAGACAGAGAGAGGGAGTGGAACATGGAGCAGGGGGAGCTGGGGAGGAGGCTGGGGATGAGGAGTGGGGGAAAGAAGGGTGGCAGAACCAGGAGAGGGGGGTGGAGGAGAGGCCAGGGACACGCGATGGCATTTGCCTACCCTCTATTAGGACAGGTGGTGTACTTTCACATCAGTAACGTAATTGGTCACAAAGACTCTGCAAATTAGATACGTTTTAATTCTTGAATTTTAGATGAAGAAATTAAGGCTCACAAGTGTTCAATAACCTGCCTGAGGTCACAGAGCAAAGAAAAATGGCTAGAAGGAAACACTCATTTGCGTCCCTCCACAACTCCTGTTCCTTTCTCAACATCATATTTATTTGGACCATTTGCCTTTGGATAAAATGAAAGAAGGAGGTAAGGGAAGCCTTCTGGAACACAGGCTCGATTTCAGGGATGATGGTGGTCTCAGGGAAGATGATGTTGGGAGCATAATAGGATTCTAAGGATGATCTTGGAAAATGAACTACATAAGAAAGAGCCTTAGCAAGAACTATTTGCACCAAGCTCTTTTCATTGTTCTGGGTGAAATCAGAATCTTGACCTGAACAGTTGCATTCCACACAGGGCCATTCAGAGCAATTGTCAGTGTCTAACCAAATAGTTGGCTACTTCACATACAAATATGATTCCTCCCTGTCTGGGATGAACTGACCCATTTATGAGACTTCAAAAAGCATTTTCACTTTTTTTTTTCCTTTTAGAAAATCCAAATGAAACAAGAAAAACAAGACAGACCATCAACAAATCAAGAGGTACTAGTACTTGACACACAGTAGGCGCTCAATGTTATTAGCTGAAGTCATGAAGCATTACTACAAGCCCCTTTGAAGGGAGTGATTGATAATTGTTATGGAGAAATCATCGCTGTGTTAGGAATGGTATGGAAATATTCCTGCACACAATTGTCAATTTTAATTGGCTTGATTCCAGATGGGCTGCCTTCTACAGAACAACTCCTGATCATCTAAGGGGTGATGGCATCGCTTAGAGTAACGTTCAGAGTTTGTTCCCTCAACATCCATATCAGAATCCCTTGGGATGCAGCCCAAATCTTAAGGGTCAAAGCCCTATAATCTCTATTTTATTAAGAGCCCCTGGAAATATATTATTCAAAGTAAAGTCTGAGACTACTGCTACAGGGGGTTAACCAGACCTATCTATTATACAATTATAGATTCAGGGCTGCCTTTAACAGAATTTAGATGCTGGTCTACTTAGGGTATAAATTAGCTAGACTCAGTCTTTGTATTAGTATGCAGTCTAAAGCAGTATTTCCCAATCCAGGCATTTCACTGGGGCATCCCCAAATCCTTAGGGTTTATCTAATTTATCCCATGTGTATATGCCCATGTTTACTTAAAAATATTTTATTTTAGGTGATTCATGGATTTCAAGAGAAACCAATTACCAGCAAGTTTCATAAGGCAGCAAGAATGGATTTGGACATGAAGGGAGGGGTACCCCGAGAGGTCATGGGCGGCGAGTACATCAGTTAAAACAATACAACTGGGCAGGTTAAAAAATGTCCCGATTATTCCTTTACAAAATGGGCATCATAATAACAAGTCACTTTTAGCATTGTTTGGATGATTATATGAGGAAACATAATGTGTTCATTCCTAAACATCTGTTGGTATGTAGTCACTACTCAGAAAACAGAAAGTTCCATCATTACTGTCAGCGTCAGGAACAGCAGGGCTCGTTTTCCGGAAGGATATTCATGAACCAACACCAATTAGTCCTTTTCAATGGTACTTATTACATAGGTCCAGATGAGCAAAAGGAGGGCTACAGGTGAATGAATACAAATAAATTAACTCTGGAATGTTGTCTTTGCCTCAATTTTTCCACTCAGGTAGGTAGGGAGAGACTGAATTTGAGAGGTGTGTGGGGGGGTAAAAGGCATTATTTTGAGTGTCCTGCCTCATGAATATGCGTTGTTTCCATTTTTCCTAGAGAATATTTCTTTCTGTGGTTCTCCCCAGTGTTAGGGTGCAAGATTCACAAATCACAAGTCTTGGTTTGTTTAGATGTTTTAATGACATAATTCTCAGATTATTTATTCTTTGTGGTGGGAAATACAAAGAAGGGGACCCCTAATGTGAATTGGTATGTTTTCTAAGACTGTCTGGGATGATTAGGCCCTAAATGTTCTCAAACATAAAATCAAAGTGAAGTGAAGGCATTGAAATCACTACCAAGCCAGCATCTGAATTTGCATGCTGGTTGGGACGGAGGGAGTGTTATGGCTTCTAGACTGTCACCAGCATCCCACCTCTGTTATCTCTGGGACTTTTTTTTTTCTCTGAAAAATGAGAATGAAAATACCTGCTCTGTGTAACTTACAGCTTTGTGGAGAGCTTTTAAGAAGCAAATTGAAGTGCTGATCCTGTGCAAGCGGGCATCACCCTCACAAGTCATCGCTTAGAAGTTTGGGCTCCATTTCAGAACTGTCACTGGTCCACAACCTCTTCTGGAAGAACAGCACCGAGGGAGGATACACCCACAGTTCTTTCCCTTATCTTGAGGCCAAAATGGCTTAATGTAGCTGTGATCTCATGTTCCACAGACCAATTTTGGGTTCCTGAAGAACAAAGTATGCCTGGAGGACAGACATTTATGTTGCCACAGTGGGGACAGCCTTAACTCAAGTGGTTGACATGAGTCGGCACACACTAGACAGAGCCCTCCCTTCCACGGTGCCAGAGCTCAGTCCATGTTTTTATTTCATTAATAAAATATGGCCTCACTTCTCATTTGTAATCCAGAGTGTGAGGATACATTTGTTGCGAATTGCATGCAGATAGATGGGGGATTCCTTTTGAAACTACATCCTCTTATAATAAATAATTTTTTATCTACTATACATAACAGTAGTGCATGTTTTGTTAAAACGGCAAGCTTTTCTTTTTTACCAAAATGAAAAGAAAACATTCATTTCTTTATAAATATTTTAAATAGTTTAAATACATATTTCATACCAAGGATATAAAAATAGCCTCTCTTTTTTGTGTGTGATAAATACATATTCATTTACATGGCAAAGAACGTGCAGTAGCTAACCATTGGCCACCAGCTCTATTTGACTGATTGTCTAGGAGATGACATGCAGTGATAATTGTCCCTTTGCCTTCACAAAAAGAAAAATAGATCAGCAGGAGCTGTGCACTCCCAAGGCCAACAGTGCTATGGAAATTGTTCAGGAATGACCCACAGGCACTCAGGAAAAACCTGAGCTGCACTTCACAAAAGCCACCTGGGACAAAATAAATCCACAAATTCTTTGTCTGGGACTTCTAGCTGCTCAGACCCTCAGGGTCTCTGGACTTTTTAAAAGTCTGTCAAACAGACCAGTAAGTTAATACCTGTACAGGAAAATGTTTCTAGGACCTAGAAAGCGTTTGCTACAGTATGGCGGTGGTTCTGCCTTGCCCTGACACCTCACACTCTTCTGCAGGACCCCCAAACCTGCCCAGTCTTCATGTCTGCCAGAAGCAAAGAAGGAAAACTAAAGCTGTCATGCGCTGGTTGGTTTGCAACTGGCAGCTGCCTCGTGGGCACTAATATCATACATTTATGGCTTTATTATCTTTCACTTCTGCTGTGCTTGTGACCACTTCCAGTGGAAAGTTCTCCAAGGGTTCAGTAGAGATTGTTGCCATTCCTTCCCGGTCCCAAGATCCTGGCAAGTTTTCCAGACTGAGGGAACTGGTGCCTCCCCGGCTGCAGCTGCCCTCCTCTGACCTGCTTGGGAGAACCAGGTGCAAAGATGTTTCTGAGGAGGAGCAGACAGAGGATGAGAGAGTGGCTGAAATGGACTGCAGAGGCGTTAGCGTCATGTCTGAATGTGGAGAGATGCATCTTAAAAATTGCACATGACCTTCTTGGACAACCTGGCAGTGAGCAGGTGAATAGCCGAGGTTTGGAGAATGACAAAGTTCACTGTCTGCAGGGTTTTGCTCATGAGCTCCAGTTCGTTGGGGGCTGCTCCCCACAGAGGAGGGATCCACACTCCAAATGTCTGAGGTGACATTACCATGACAAAGTTGTGCTTGGGTATAAGCAGCTCCAGCTGCTTGCAAGTGTAGGCAAGGTTGGTGTGTGCTCCAGGTCATTCTGGTCTGTAAGCTGTCCCGGGGGAGACACACAGAGCTGTTGTGCAGAGAGCAAAATGGTGAGGGCTGCTGGGGTGACAGAACATTTTCTAGAAGTTGCATCACATTCCTCATGTCTTTACCCAACTGGGAGACCTCCTGAGTCAATGTTGTTACCTGCACAAATAAAGCAAATCAAAGGGCAATAGTTAGAGGTATTTGGTTGTGATTTCAGAGCAATGAGGCAGGGGAGGAAGATTTCTCAGTACGAAGGTCTGAGAAGCTGCTCCATCTCCAGCTCCATCCAAGTCCAAGGGTGAATAGGGAGCCTGGGCACCTGATCTAAAGCCATCCTCATTCTGAGGGAACCTGGAGAGACACAAATAGTCTGGCTAGAGATGAATCAGTGATTTGGGGGTTCTTGAACAAAATAAGAGATGTGGGTCGGTCCATCATATCATATATCTCTTAAATACAGACAGCATCTTTGGCTTCCTCTGAGTCAGTGGGATGCACAGTGGTGCGCACACACCATCCCAGAAACACAGAACACTGTGGAGTGGTGGGTATGGGCTGCAAAGCCCTCAGCACACTATCTGTCCAGAGCAGACACCCAGTGACTGAGAGCTCTCATTTGTGTCATTTCTGGTTGAGCTCCATCCTTATTACAGGTTCAGAGACAACCTGGCCTTCAGTGATGGGGAGGGTGGCAGGCAAGAACTCACAACAGATTTGCTAGGGAGTTTACCAAAAAAGGGAGACCTGAAAACAAGTTAGAAAGAAATGAAAAGACCTACAAGGTGGGTACGTGCAGGAAAGCATCATGGCAAGCCTGGGGGGCTTAGCCCCCCAGGGAACCTGCAGCCTCACGGAGCTATAACCCACGGTGTGTGGGACGGGCTTTATTCACTTTTCTGGGGTAGACATCTGGCTTTTGTAAGATGTTCGAGGGAGCCTTGACCGTCAAACACTTAAGAGCCACCAAAGAGTAAGAACTCATTTTACATTTAAAACCAATAATAAAATTCATCAGAGGATTTATTTTTCTAACAACCACATCATTTTTTTTAACCACAGAAGATCACCAGAAGATTGAATCTGAGTTATATCTAGCTTTTCTGGAGTGTTTATGTTCCTTCTGCTCTATTTCAGAAAGCAGGAGACAAACATGTACTTTCTAACCTTTGGCTAGATTTATAGTACTAACACATATGGGAACATTTTACCTTCATTGCTCTAAGACTGTATTTTACAAAGAACTTCCTATGACTTGATATTATTATCATGAACCATGAAACTCCAATATAAGCAGCTGAACCCATGGACTAAAATACCATCAAAAGAGAAAACAGAAGGGCAGATCAATGTCAAAGATGCCAAATTCAATTTTGCTGTTTGGGATCAACTTTTTTCAACATTTAAGTGTACATCCCTAATTCATCCAGTGACTTAATTCAGTCCACTGCCTGTGTGCATTCTGAAACTAATTCTCCCTGGCAGGCCCATCAGGAGGTAGTGCCTCTTGAATCAGGCTTTTTGAAAAGGCCAGAAGGAGGTTTTTCCATGGTTCAGGCGACCAACTGCTAACACCTGCCTTGAAATAGTCAGGCCAAAACTCTTTCTGCCTTGCTGCTGGCGTGGAACTCAAGGGACTCAACTGAACACTTACCTGGGCTTCTTGGCAGATCTAAAACTTCTGGTGATGAAAAGATTCCTCTGAGCCTCACATTTAAGAATGAAACAGTGAATCTGAGAAAGGTTCTATGTTTTTTGAAATTTTCACTGCAGGTCATGGATTTTATAACCTACAAAGCCTCAGTTCTAAAGTCCATGGTTCACACTTGAATCAATATGTGGCTCTTGACACCGCAGACATTCACCGCGGGTCCCCTCTTGAATTGATTAGCAACTCTACCAAAATTTCAGGGAAGAAGGCTGACACTAAATCAGAAGTTTGAAGGGACTTATCAATCATCTGTCCCTGTAGATTATCTAAGCCTCATTGTGGTTTTGAATGCAACAGGGGTACATTAAATGCTTTCAGTCAACTTTTTCTTAGGACTCAGTAAAGACACAGTCTTTGAAAAACAATTTTGCATTTTAGTCACAGCAACAATTACTGTTTGAGTAAACCTGTAACACAATGTGCTTTGGGTGCCTTTTCCCTATGGGGTCTATAAAGAGAACTAAGACAGGCAGGCCTACATTATTATTTCCCCAACTTTAAAATGGGGACACCAAGATCCAGAGGTTAAATGACAGTTTTAAGGTCTCTTATTTCATGAATGCAGCCTTTAGTCCACAATTTAAGCCTTCTAAGTTTAGTGCTTTTATTGTTACAGGATATTATCACATGGAAAAGGATATATCGCGTTAAGAGTTGACTTTTGCTGATGTGGTCAGAATTTGTGAAGAGCACAGATGGTACAAAAAGATAGCCTCTTGTGTAAAAGTTGTCTGAAATGTTCATTCAACATCAAATAGGAAAATGCTATCTCTAAAAAAATAGGAGACTAATTAAGCACAACAAATTATATGTTGCAAAAAGTTTGCAACAAGGGAAAATCTGGAACCAGGCATATTTCTGATGAACTACTTTTCCTAGCTTTCCAAATACACAGATGTTTCCCCATGGTTCAAGTACCTTTCCCTGGCCACATTCTTGACTTTACTGTACACTTGCTACAGCTTTGAGCTGTGAACTTTGAATGGGTATCCAGAGTCTTGACTGGCTCCAGGAATGTAAACAAGCATTTACATTTTCAGAAAACAAAAGCTATATTAGCTTAGGCTAAAAGGAGCAAAGAACCCAAGAAAATAGAGCTTTCTTTAGCTCTAGCGGATTAGGCTCAATTTATGTTCAGGAAGATTTCTGTCACTTTGTCACTGGGGACACCCCCCTGCACCTTATTAAAGTTACATGAGGCAGTACTCCCGATTATGTAAGGGATCTCTCCCTTTACAAGGACAAAGCCAGCTGTCACAAGGGGAGAGGCCATCTCCTGGAGGTGGAGACTGGTGACACTGAAGGTCACAACATACTGCCACAGATAATACAGTAAGTTTGGCTGCATTTGTCTTTGCTGCATCCTGCTGGGCTTGCTAACAAAACTCATTCTGAAACAGGCAAGACCTTATTCTTAATCAAATGTACAAAGCAAAGAATGCAGCGTCTTTGCTTTCTAAGGATGCTTATTTACAGTGTAGTAGGATGCCCATTTGCTAAACAAGGTTGTTGGGGCTACTTTGTAAAACAAGGCTCTGTCCACTCGAGAAGATGTATCTTCAAAATACAACTTAAAACCAGAGTACTGCAGAGGTAGGTCAATAAAAACAAACAAAAGTCATTAATGTGTTAAAATCCATCAAGCTGTACACTAGATTTGTGCACTTTAGTGTATGCACCTTAACATGAAAGAAAATCACTAATTAAGAGAAAAGTTATTCAGATCAAATAAACCAGTTTTCCACTTACCTAAACAACTGCTTAAAATCTTTGAATGTCTTCTGCTACTCATGAAAAATACAATTTCTTTATGAGCAGCTATTACAAAGCTTTGTGGCTGCATTTCCTGCATTTCCCCCCAGGTCACCATCAGTCTGGACACCCTGAGATTCCCAGCCCCCTGGCCTTGTGCGTGATGTTCCTCTGCGGGGGGGGATTCTCCTCCTCTTCCTCTTTCTGCCTAGTAGTTCCTTCTCTCCTTTCAAACTTCCAGTACCTCATTTTCTTGCCAGCTCATGGATACACACTAGCAGCTTGCAGCACCATGGGGGGCATGTCTGCCCCCAGCTAGGAGGTAAGTTCCTTAAGGGTAGAAACTCTTATTTATCTCAGTAATTCCAGGGCAATGCCTAGAACACAACGTGCACTCAGTAACTCTTGAATGTAGAAATGAATTCAATTCCTGCCATTTGCAAGGACCAGGTTCTCAGATTGCCTTCAAATTTTATCTTATTTTATCTGATGATTTAACCATAAATATCCCCAGGGACAGCTACCTACTAGAAAATTATGTTGGGAAATCTGTAACTGGCCCTTTGGTCCCAAGTAAAAATGTTAAAAGCAAGTATAATGACTGCTTCAGTATTTGTATATAAATTTCATAAGCTAAACTCTTGAGTATCTCCTAGTTTTTAAGAGCGGGTGGCATTTCCACTGTTAAGAATCCTTTTATCTTACTATATTTCCTTCATAATTATAGGAATTACGATCAACATTCTTTCAGCGAAGATTTCGGCTAGACTTCGCTTGTCTTATGCTTTGTCATTTGTCCCAGAATAAACTTGATTTCCATGGGTGATTTTAATTCCTTGGGGAAATTACCATTTACCGACTCCCATATCTCATGACTACATTGAGTGCCAAGTGACAAATTCAATTATGTTATTCAGAGTTATTTTAGCAGCTGAAATTTGGCAAACCTTTTTGCATACCTGTTTGCTACCCTGGGGGCTGTCTTAGATGTGGCCTCCTGATTATTTCTATCTATAAAGATAATAAATAAAGAAATCATAATTTAATACACATTTTTCTCTTACTTGTGTAGTAAGTTATATTTTCTTTATCCATTTTTAACTCTTCTTCCTCTTCTGTTTTTCTCATCCAAATTTTTCTGTGGATAAGAATCCATCAGTCTGGAATTTTAAAATTGTTGGCCAAACCAGTTTACCATCACCATCTGCATAGCCAGTTGCTCACATTCACACATTCAAGATTTTTCTGTCTTTTCCAAAGTCCCAATTGTTAGGAAGAAGTGATGAAAACACCATCTGTGCTTCCAAGTGGCTCCATTTTCTATCCAAAACTTTGGAGCACCTAAAGGGTCTTCCCTTCTCTGTTCTCCCAGCACCAGGTATTTACAATCACTAGGCATTTAGCTGATTTTTGGGCAATGCATTTGCTCTTGTTGAATAGAACCTTCTGTCAAGAGAGAAACTCTGTGTGACAACAGACTTGTCAGCTGTCCATGATAATCCACATACTGATATTGCCATACTTCTAAGAAGGGATCATTGACTACCACAATTTTTCTATTTCTGCCATAGCAAGGCTTCCTCCGAACTTCTGTTGGCTTAGAAATAGCCATTGTTGCCTACATTTCCATAGATTCTGGTTTTCTCCTCGAATATTTAATTTGTCCCATTCCCATTCATGTGATGTTAGGTCTTACCCT